CAGCTCCCCAGCTAGTGACAGTAACACTGAGAGTAACTGTGCCGACCACGTAAAGCACACTTTCTCATTTAATCTTACTGGGTCCTACGAGGTTAGCAAAGAACAGAAGACGAAGGCTCAGCGAGGCAAGAGCCTTGCTTAAGGTCACAAAACTAGTAAGAGGTGGAGCCAACATTTGGACTCAGACAGCTGAGCACAGGCTCCGCTAGGGCAGGTCACATCCCAGCTGTCCCACGACACACACTGTACCACACACACCTCTCTACCCAAAACGGTGCGGCCCAACAAGTCCTGAAGAGCTGTGAGGAGGAAGGAGAAGCAGATGGTAAGTACCTTTTGTGTCTATAAGCTCTGAGTCTGTTTCAGATTCTCTTCTTTCCTCCTTCTCATTTCCGGGAGCCAAAACTAGGGTGAGAAATAAAGAGAGATCTGTGTCCATTCGTGCCAAGGGCAGTAAGAGAGGCAGACGCTAACTCTGACTGTACCGGCGGCCTCCTCTCTCTCAGCGGGGGGCTCCTCCAGGGTGTCCACCATGGCTGCGTTGCAAATGTGCTCAGGGTCCTGCAGGCACAGTGAGATTCTATCTGAGTGATGGACCTCCCTCAGGCCGGAAATCCTGAGGGCTGAGGGATGCCCCTGCCTCCCCGACGGGTGCGGATCGGTTACCTTGAACTGCAGCCCTCGGAGGTTGTGAATCAGCTTTGCATAGCTCCCTCTCTCCTCCATCAAGGCCTTGTGGGTCCCCTTTTCACAAATCTCTCCATCTTCTAACAAAATGACTTCATCACAAGCCTCCAAGAACTGCAGAGACATGACCACGGCCATAGTGAGAGAAAGGAGCACCCTCCCCAGCTCCCACCCAGAGGGCTTGGCTAGCCAGGGGCTTGTGGCCTTGGCACTGCTGACAGTGGGCCAATCACTGTCTGTTGTGGGGACTGCCCTGGGCGCTGCTGGGTATTTAACAACCTCCCCATCTCTGACCATAATGCCGGTAGCACCCCCTTCCCGAGCTGTGACAAGCAACCACGTCCCCAGACATTGCAAACAGCCCTCAGCTGACAACCACTGATCCAGTGCCCACTGGTCTCGGGGGCACCTTCCACTATCACAGTGAGGCACACTGAACCTTCCTTAGCCACCGCTCCTTAAATAAGCTACCCTCCAGAGAAATCAGCCAAGCTTTGTAGGGAGGGAGCCATGATCTCTGCAATGGTCCTCTCTGCTAAGGCATCACCCACCCTTTAGCTTAGGAGAGGCCAACCAGGGTGCCCGCCCCGAGTCAGCAGGCAGCCCCCTGGCCTTGGGCGCTTGTGCTACCTGCTAGAAATAGAGCTCAGTTCCATGCTGGCCTCCCACATTTTGCCCAAAGCACTTCTCTTTTTTTATTTTGAATTCCCTTTATTTCCATATCACTCCTGACATCAAAGAGTTCTGCTAAGGGGGGTTTCCTTTCATTTTGGAACCAGACAGAACTGTCCCCATAGCATCAACCATCAAGACCATCACAGGGCAGGAAGCCCCCTCCCCCCAGAGGTGGGCAAGAGCTGTGAGATTTCATGCTTGCAGTAGGGCCTGGAAGCCTCTCCCTGTCTGTGCTGCCAGCCCTCCAAGCACAGACAAGCCTTTGCTGCCCTGAGGAGCAGGGGCCTGAAAGTGGCCGCTGCAGGGGTGGCTGTGCACACGGGCAGGGCAGACAGGGGGACCAAGGGCTGAATGACACAGTTCTGGCAGCTCGTGGAGCCTCAGCCACCGCTCCTCCCTCAGACTCACTGCCCAGCTCTCCATCTACTTCCCAACACGGCCCACGCAGGAACAGCCTGGCCTGAAATATCTACTCCAGACATTTTCTGACAGATTCTTTTTTTCTCTCAGCTTTGCACAGATCTCCTAACTTCTCAAAGCCTGATCTCGTCTCTTTATTTCTCTATCTTCCGCAACCCAGTAAAAAAGGGGAGCAGCTTAATTATCAGCTGATTTTCCAGATGGGACCCTGAGGCACTGCAGCCCTGTAGCCAGCGTGGGCCTGTTCGAGGGCATGTGCTGCAGCCCCAGAGCCCCTGGAGAAGTCCCTGCCATCCAGCAAGCCCCAGACCATCCCAGCAACTCTCCCCGAACATGACTCTGGGCATCGGTGGCCCCAACTTCTTTCCATTTGTTTCCTTCAGTAATAGACGAGTAACAGCCCAGCCACTCAGGAGCCCCTGGAACGCCAGGGGGCCTGGAAGTAAAGGCAGCAGAAACGCTCTTAAAACGCCCTGGGGCTCCTGTTCTGGGCTGAGTCCCCTCTTGTCCACACCTGTCCCTGACAAGAGACCAAGCCCCTGGGCTACCTGATAGCTGCCTGCACTTTCCGACTTGCCAAAGTGAGATAGAATGAAGGGGAGAGGCACCCTCTGTGGAGACTGAGGCCTGGAGACAAGACCTCGCAAGACAAGACAAGGCCCATAATTAATTACACTGCTGGACCAGAAGTCCTGGAGGGACAGCTCTGACCCACACCTGGCAGGCATGCGGCATCTCCCTCCAGATCCTGGGAGCTCTCAGTAGGACAGCCCTCCACTGCAGGCTGTCCCCAGGCAGTGGACAGTCCCAGCACAGAGCTGTGGTTACGACATTGGTCACCCTGACTGGGGTCCAAAGGAAAGCCAACCTCTTCCTCACCCTGACTCCTGGCCAGAGTGTAACTAGTAGCTCTTGTCCACACCTGCCCTGGGCATGGGTGGTCCAGCCCCTCAGAGGAAACCCAGATAATCCCCACGTGAAAAATTCAGACACTTGGAGCTGATTCAGAAGCTGAAGTGAAGCCTTGAGCACAGATGGGTGCAGGGCCTCCCCGTGGCACCCTGTAGCTACGGCAACCTCGCCCCCAGCTTGACTCACCCTTGCCGGGCATGAGACCTGCCTCCTGCCCCAGACCAGGCCCTGGTTCACACGCTCCCCACAGGTGGCAGGAAGACAAGAAGACAGGAGTCCCTCTGCCCGGTCCCAGGGTCTCCTCACCGCAGGGACACATATGCACATCTCGGAGGGCTCACCATGGAGGGGGAGGGGACGATGATGTGACAGAGGGGATGCCTGGCTTGTCTCGGGGGGACGGGGTCTCGGACTCATTCCCACCAGGCATTCAGTACCTGTTATGGGGGACGGACCAACCTGTACCCACCCTGCCACATTCTCTAGTTCACTCAGCTCAAGACTGGCCACTCCCTTTGGCAAGATTCATGCTCCCAAGCCTGAGAGAGTGGCTCTGAGCCCACTGCTTCCCCAAGGCCTTAGCCTTGGCCACAAGCCCCTTTCCCTGGTGTGATGTGTGGGGCCACCACCCCTCGGCATCCCCTGCCAAGGTGCCCCTGACCTCAGGCCTGCACAGCCCTGCTGGAGGAAGGGTGGGGCCTGAAGTGTTTCCCCAGAGTTACCCCAGGCTCACCCCCAGGCAAGGCCTCAGATGTTCCTGGGAACTGGGCCTCTCACATTCCCTGCTCCCTCCTCATCCTGCCCAGGAGAGGCAGGTTTAGGTAAAGGAGGCTCTGAGAGCATCAGCTGCTACACGACCCCCCCATGGCCTCCCCGGCCCTGCTCGTCCCCTCACCTGTAGCTGGTGGGTCACCAGAACAATGGTCTTCCCCCTGAGTGCCTTCTTAATGCACTCCTCAAAGACCAGCTTGCCCACATGGGCATCCACAGCCGACAGGGGGTCATCCAGCAGGTAGAGCTCACGGTCGGAGTAGACAGCACGGGCCAGGCTGATCCTCTGCCTCTGCCCCCCAGAGAGGTTGAGGCCCCGCTCCCCGATCTGCAGATAGGGACAATGCTACTGCCCGTCACTGGGCCACTCTGCAGTTTCTGGAGAATAGCAGCTTCCAGAAGCTTCTCAGGATCCAGTAGGAGGACCCAGCGGGAGGCCCCACAATGGCCGTCAGCACATCAGCCTCCACCCTTCACAGGGACCCCAAGTGCATGAGACGTGGTGTGAGTGGAAGGTTTGTGTACAGTGGCCACTGGGGGAGGGAGCCCCTCCCAGTGCCAGATGAGGCTGCCTGCTGCGAGGCAGCCCTTCCGAGGCAGAGCCCACCAAAGCAAGACATCTGAGCAAGAGGCTAGGAGGACGGGGAGGGGACTGGAGGGGGCAGATCGTGTGGAGCAGGAAAGGTTTATCTGGTGGGCAGCTGCCCCCACTAGGCCGCTCTCAGCTCCATGAAGAAAGGAGCCGTGTCAGAAAGGTGCTCTGTAAACAGGGGCATTTACTAAAGGGAAGAAAATCCTAGCCACTTACTTCAGGTGAGTCTGTCGGCCAAACCAAAAGTGACCCCATGATTGAGCTGAGCGCTAGGGGAGGGACGTGAGAAGCTGGGCGGGAGAAGTCCCCCATCCATGCAGCTGGCAGAGCCGCGGGGAGGTGGTTAGACTGTAATGATGGAACGGACCAGGCAGAGCTTATCAACTGAGGGACGTACACCAAGTATCTCAGCAGGTTACTGTAGGCCGAGACTCGGGAAAGCCTTCCTCCAGCTGGCAGATTTGGGGCTGGAGCTCCAAGGGTGGTGACAGTAGCAAGGCAGAGACTTAGAGGCTAGGAGGGGAGCAGACACTGTGGCGGCAGGTAGGGTTAGGTAGAAGCATGTTCTGGACGGGGCGGGGGGGGCCAGGGCAGCCATGTGGCTCCAGCAGAGTGAGACAGTGTCCTCTGGACTGGCTGCCTAACCTCTGGGTCTCCCAGGCAAGGTGGGGAGAGCTGTGCAGAGGAAATACACAAGACAGGGACACAGAAAGAGGGCAAGGTGACACCCTGGGTCACCTGAGTTGGCAGGATCAGCCCTGGACTGAGCTGGAGCTTTGGACAAGCAGCAGGAGCCATGTTTGGAGGTGACCCTACAGTCCTGGCCTAAATAGGGCCAGTGAGACTCCAGCTGAGTGCAGCACCCAGGCCCCTGCTTTGAAGTACAGAGCTGGCCCTCCAGGTGAGGAAGCAGTTTTTGCCATAAACCTCTCCTGAGAGCACAGGCAGACTAGGAGTGGCCCCAGGAAGTGACCACCTGTGCCAAGCACAAGGGGGCTTAGCACCACAACCACTGCAAGGCCCAGCAAGTGTGGGATGGGCAGGACCTGGACATGGCCTGTGACTGGACCCAGCCCAGGACAGTTCTGCCCTCCAGGGCACCCGGATATGAAGCAGGAGCCTGCTGGCCTCAGCCCTATATACCGGGGCAAACAGGCCACACACTGCTGCAGTGAGGTCAGCCCTACCCTGCTCACCTCTGTCAGGTCTCCATAAGGGAGGCTGCTCAGGTCCTTCTGGAGGCCACAGACGCGAACCGTGTGCTTATACCTGTGGGTGCAGAGTCAGAAGTCGGCTGGGAAAGAAGGACGGTGCTCTGCCCACGCGGCTTCTGAGGGCAGCTGCTCTTATCACCGGGCAAGGCAGTACATGCAGAGGCATGGTCAAGGCTCCCTGGCCAGGTGGTCTGTCTTCAGAGCCCTTGGTCCCTGGGTCCCCTCCCCTGATCTGATGCAGAGGTGACTCGGGGATGGTCCCTCCCCTCACAGACCCCCCACCATGTGGGGAAGATGACATCCACACACAGGAAACCCTGAAGGGGACACGGGGTACTGACTGCTGGTGCTGCTCGTGGGAGTCAGGGGAGGGTCACCCATGTGGGCTGGGGCCTCTGGGGATGGCATCTCAGAGGGCACAGGCTGATGCCAGGCTGTGAAGGGAAGCAAGGACGTGTGCAGATGGAGGCTGACAGCCCAGGCCAGGGAGACCACAGATGGTGGCCATGCCATCCACCTGGCACCTTCTGCCCCAGAAAGATACTCAGTCAGCCCGTCTGGTTAGAACAGGGTTTTTCTCTAACCAGGGATGATGGGATGCACAGAGGCACAGAGAATGCTGCCCAAAGGGGAAGCAGCTTAGTGGGGACAAGGACCCCCCCCTCCTTGGCCTCTCTGCCTTGCTCCCTCCACATCATGCCTGTCTGGCCCTGGAGCCCACCCACAGGAGTTTCCTGGGTGCAGCTCTCCCCAGGTCTGCAGCTGAGCTGCCCATTTTGCAAAGGACAACCACGCTGAGGGGTCAGCTCCACTGCTGTCCCTCTGGGGACGTCTACTCATCTGGGAATGTCAGTGGCTCGTGTGACATCCAGGCTACATGTTATGAGAGAAGCCCATCCCCCTCATCCCTTGGCTTTCTCTGCACCTCTAAGCCACTCAGCCCACCCTAAACAGTCTCCCCCCGGGGGCATCACCGTGCCCCACACAGCCACCTCCCGAACTGGCCCAGAATGTCTAGTAGCTGTTGAGGTTTGTACCCTATCCAAGGAGCTGCCCACGATGGGCCCTGAGTTTCTGTCCCACTGGACAGGTGACCTGCTCTGTGGGGTTTGGTGGGTTGATTGGTTGGCTGATATCGGTAGCACCACCATCAGTGGGAGCCTCTTTCTACAGCGCAGAACAGTGGGCAGGCCTCACACCTCGGACTCTGCAAACTGCACCTTTGCAACAAAGGGCAGGCAGGCAAAGAGGGGAAGTTGCCTGCAGGGGCAGCCTGGCCCGGAACAGAGCCTGGCACAGCCCAAGCACGGCACCCTCAGACCAGCTTTGGGGCTGGCATGCATGGTGGTAAAGCCCAGGGGCTTCAGAATCAGAAGACATAGGCTTGAACCCAGCGGGTGTCCTTGGACAAATGACTACATCTCCCTGATCCTCACTCTCCACTCTGTAAAACTGGGCTAATGACTCTTGCTGGGTCATTTGGAGACTGGAGAAAGCTGACCCACAAAGCCCTGACACAGTGTCTGGTACGTGGCAAACCTTCCATCAGCAGCCAGCCCTGTCACTAGGGTCACTCTTGCCAGTCCTCAGCGACATGGTCAGACTGCTCGACACACCTACACCCCCTCAGCAACCCCATCTTCAGTTTCCTCCCACCCTCCCACATCCCCTGACCCTGAGAACCACAGTTTCTGCCCTGGGATCAAAACTTCCACTAAAGACACCAAGCCAGGAGGCACAGGGCAAGACATCAAGCCAGGCAAAGAACCATGAGTTTATTACTTCCCAAAGTTTAAAGATAATGGTGCAAAGTGTATCCAATAAGTATAACTTGGTGTTTATCTCATCACCTCATTCTAAGGACACTGACACAGTATATCCTGATGGCTCTGATGTCAACCAATAGTGTCAGGCGGATTCAGAGCTGGCAATTTCCAGCAGAGTTTTGGTTACTCAGTCAAAAGCAAAATTGCCACATTCATTCTCCTCTAGTGAGACAACACATGCCCTGTGACAGAACCTCAGGACATACGCTGCTGTGCCCTGGGAATGAGGTGCAGACACCTATCTGCAGAAAATGCCTCTCCAGACCTCCTGGAGAGTGTGTGTGTGGATCTGCTGACGGGAAACCCCCTGAGCAGCCCCTCCCACGGCCGAGCCTGCCCACCGCGCTTTGCAGTTCGCGTTACCTTTGCTGATCGTACTTTTCCCCAAACAGTATGTTTTCTCTCACGTTCCCGTGAAAGATCCAGGCTTGCTGTGAGACGTAGGCCAGGGTCCCGCTGACGGCCACAGTTCCTTCCTGCAGCTGCATCTGGAGCAACGAGACCAGAGAACCCTCAGGAGCAGGGACCTGGGAGCAGGGCCGGCCTGCACAGCTATGGACCGTGACCTGGCAGGCCCCATCTTCAGGAAGCAGCCTTGACCCGGCTGCACAGCTGGTGCCACACACAGACAATGGCAGACGCTGGTGATGATGCCATGTTCAAAGCTGTCAGGAGAGGGGCGTGCAAGGCAGGCACGGTGCCTGGGGTGAAGCTCGGGGCAGCAGCAGTGTGTCGGAGAATAGGGATGGAGTGGCCCAGGTGGTCAAAGGCTGTGATGCCATTTCATCTCAGGAATGGTCCCAGGGACAGAGAGGTCAATATGGAGAGAAACAAGGATAATAATCACAGCAGCACGATGTGTGGGTGTGTCCTGGACACTTTTAGCTGTGTGTGAGATGCTCATCACCACGATTGGACCTTCAAATTATCTTATAAGCAACTAGTACAGACGCTATCTCATTTAATCCTCACACAATGATCCTTAGCCTCATTTTACAGATGAGGAAACCAAGGCTCCAAGAGGTTAAGTTACCACTCCAGGGTTCATCAGTGAGCTGGAGGGGGAACCCAGGTGGACTGGAGTGCCACCCTCCCTGCCCCCTGACCACGGGGAGGGGCCTGGTCCCACCATGGCCCATGGGACACAGTTTCTATTTTTCCCTGAAATGCTCCAAAGGAGCAGATCAAAGGCTATTGGAGTTAAAAGGAGGCAAGTCTCATTCCAAAATACACCGAACCTCTCCAGAGAGGAAACTGGCTGTGAAACAATGAGCCCCCGCAAGATACCTGAGCAGAGGGCGGATGGTCTCCTACATAGGATGCCAGGAAGGGGTCACGTTACCAGGTGGGGAACTGAGCTGAGTCACCTCTACAGCACCTGAGTGCTCCAAGGTCATCCCAGAGGCACACAGACTGAACCCAAAGCGTGGGTCACCTCAGCAGCTCACTCGATTCAACCATCAGGCAGAAAGGAATTGGCACTTTTTCTACAGATGAGTCAACTGAGGCCTAAAGAAGTCACTGGCATTGGAGACGACCCCCACCTGTCCGGCAGGCCCTTCTGTGCCCTGCTGAGTGTTTTCCTCAGAGACATCCTTCTTCCCGCTACCACGATCCAGACTGCCCAAACTTCTCATTAGGGACAGCAAAGTGAGGAAAAGGGACTTAATGTTTTTTCTCCAAAAAATTTCTCATTCATCTGGGACACAACTCAGAGTCCACAGCAACATAAAGGCCTGTGAGTATAGTAAACGGCTTGGCCATTTCCCCCGGGGTCTTCTAGCCAAAAGTAGCAGAGAAGGGACAAGAACCCAAGTCCCTTCTCCCCCCACAGTGTTTGCAGAGAACTGGGGGCACACGCTGCTCTGGCCACCCCTTCCCTGAGGCTGTGGCTGGACATCTGCTCTGGCCAGACACTGGGCAGGTGGGGGGACATGGCGATGGATGAGGGACAGATGCACCTAAAGCCACTGTGAGTCCCAGACTCCTAGGGCCTTCCCCACCAGTGGCCTGGCTGGCTTTTCTAAATTAGGACAGCCCAAGTCATGGAGTAGCCATAGATTTAATGACCCAGAAAGCAGTCACCATTCCATGCATGTCCTCGGGGACAGACCCAGGAGTGTGAAAAGCTCAGCCTCGCCTGGCCTCGGGGTGTGGAGCTGTCAGAATGTTAGCTTCCTGAAATGACCCTGAGATGTGGGCACAGTGTCCAGTGCAGCTGAGCCCATCCACTGGGTCCACCCTTCTAAGGGCCAAGCTGGTAGGAAGGGAACCAATTCCATTGTCAGGGCAGCTTACCTGTCCCAGGAGAGCTGCAAGGAGGGAGCTCTTTCCACTCCCCACATTCCCGCAGATTCCCAAGACCTGTCCCTGCCAGAGAAACAGAGAGAAGACCAGTCACTCTCCAGGCTCTTAGAGGGGTTGGGCCAGGCCAGGCAGGGACCACAGAGCCACCACCAGCTCTAGGGGGTGGCAGTCGCCACCTCCCACACCCACCTCCACACGCTCCACTTAGGTGGACTCAGAAACAACCTCCATTAAGCACTTTCTCTGCACAGCACGGCAGAGTGCCCAGGGGCTTCTAGAAATCATGCATGATTGCTGATGTGAAACAGCATCTCATGCTGGCCGGGGTCGCAAGGGGCTGTCCCATGCCCAGAACTCAGAGACCCGACCTAAGGGGAGGTAAAAGCCGGGGGAGAAGGGCGGCCTTTGCCGTATGGAGAGCAGGGTGCTCTTCAAAAGTCATTTTTAAATAGGTCCCTTCCCCATAACAACTCAGTCTGAAACACCCAAGCCATTAAAGTATTCTAACAGGTTGGCTCCTGGATTATCCTGCCATTGCAGATTTAGTAATCCACCCAACTAACCCTTGTTTGTTATTGTTAGAGATCTGGGTCTGTCCTCAGGGAGCTCACCTTCTAGCTGGAGATGGACAGGAAGCAAGAGCAGTAAATTCCATGTGGAGAACAGCCAGCGCTTTCCAGAAAACCCCACGCCCTCATCCCCGAGGTTTCCACTATTTACTTGTTCATTCAGCAAACAGTCCTGGGAACCTCTGAGCCAAGCGCTGGGCTGGTGCTCAGGACATGACTGTGAACAGCACACCCTGACTCCGTGGAGGATACAGTCTACTGGAATCGTGCGGCTAAATTGGAAAATCTCGGATGCCCTGAGTGTGGTTCATGTCAGGGCCAGCAGTTAAGCCGGATCTAATTGCTAAAGGAAAACAACAGCAGCTGACGTCAGTTGAGGCAAACCGTGGGCCTGGCATTTTGATTTGGTGTCTCGGGTCTAACAACCACCTTGTGAAGCTCAACAGGTGAAGAAATAGACACTCCAGGAGGTTGGACGGGACACCCAAGGTCAAGCAGCTAGCAAGGGGCTGGGACTGGATAGGAGGTCCACCAGCCTGCAGAGGCACACCCTTCACCCACGGGTCACTGCATTGTCCCCACTATATCTTCCACTTATTTCACAAAACGCTGACCACGTCCTTGCAGAGGCAGGCGTTACCGACACACTGAGAAGGACATTAGTGGTGAAGCCGCGGGAGGGGTAAGAGGCAGTGTCTGAAGCAGCTGGGAGGCAGGTGCTGCACCTCGTAGGCCTGAGGAGAGGACCGAGGAGGCAAAGGGAGGGGGCGCACCCAGCAGGACTTAACAGAGCTCAGCTCAATTGCACTTAGCCAAACAAACACTATTTCCAGACAGCCTCGTTAGCAAGAGGTGGCATTCTCATGCTGGCTACTGAGCTTGACACTGCATAATAAAGAACCTCTCCCCTCCACAGTGCTCACATAGGGATAGAGTGAGTCAACAGGACCAGAGATTAAAATACTAAGCATGAGATTAATGTTGAGCCCTCTGCAGCAAAATCAACACTGCCTCCCTGGGAGCGGCTGCTGAGCTCCAGCTCAGGAGGCAGAGGCACACGGGAGATGCAGGAGAAGGCCAAACACTCCCTAAATCCATGGCTCCCTCTAAAAACTCTACCCGAGTCTTGAGGGAAGGGAGCAGCAAGCAGACTCTGGCAGCCTCTGCTGGGTCGCTTGTGAATCTCTTTGCTTCTCAGAAGAGCAGTATTTCACAGTGGCTAGGCACAGACTCTGGTGCCCTGAGTGTGAGGCCCTCCTCTGCCACTTGCCAGCCGTGTGACCTTGGGTAAGTTATTGAATAACAACCTTCTTCAGCCTCAGGTTCCGCAGTCACAAAGGTGGGGTAGTTATGGGACCCACCGCACAGGGGCATTGGGGTGGCTGAATGGGTTAATTATGTGCCTGGTAAACAGTAGGTACTCATAATATTCAGTCATTATTATCTACCACAATACTCCAAAGTGCAAGTAAGAACAGATCAAGCCAGGCGAGGTGGCTCTCACCTGTAATCCTCGCACTCTGGGAGAACCACGGTGGGTGGATCGCTTGAGCTCAAGAGTTCGAGATCAGCCAGAGCAAAAGTGAGATCCCATCTCTACTAAAACTAGCCAGGCATGGTGGCAAGTGACTGTCATCCCAGCTACTCTGGAAGCTGAGGCAGGAGGATCACTTGAGGCCAAGAGTTTGAGGTTGTTGTGAGCTATCACGTCATAGCACTCTACAGAGTAAGACTCCGTCTCAAAAAACAGAACAAAACAAAACAAAACAAAAACAAAAAAGAATAGATCTAAAAAGACTTACAAAAACTAGTCATTTACATTCTCGCCACCTGAAGTGGACTGTCCATTCAAAATTGCAACTGAAACCAAAGGAGGCATTCAAAGTCAAGTCCATGTCACCCCATCTCTGCTCTAAGCTTGACTAGGACGCCTCCAATGCCTGTGACATAGTTTCACAATCTGGGGAAAAAGCAGAGACCCTGGTGGGGGACATCGCACCACCACGTCCAGCCCTAACTGAAGGATATGAGACCGGGAGAAGGCTACAGCTATGAAATACCAGCAGGGAGCGAGGAGGCCACACCTCCAAACACACACCCACCTTTCTAACCTCAAAACTTATGTCGTGCAGGACCGGTTTGGGGCTGCCACTTTGCTCCTCTGGGCCAGCGACTTGCTGGGCTGGCGGGCTGCCGTCACCGTATGCCTCTGACCTTTGTTTCTTGAACAAATGTTTTTTCTGCTTCTGCACTTTCTTGGGGTCACTTTTCCTGCTGGCTTCTTGCTCCCATGTCAAGGTGGCATTTGCTAAAAGCAAGACAGTATCTGGGTCTTCTGGTTGGGTGATGTAAGATGGGGGGCTTTTATCTATGAGGATTTTCTAAGATTAAAGAGACAAAATTAACTGAGCAGACATCCGCCAATTGCAAGAATCATCCCAACATACCATCTAATGACCCCAAGTCACAATTTTGGCAATTCTACCTAGGACATCTGGGAAAGAGATTCTGAAGTTATTTCCCCCTAGGAGAAGCTACAGCAGAAATAGTCTTCTAGCTCATACTACCTAGGACAGATACCGTGTTTCCCCAAAAATAAGACACTGTCTTACATTTATTTTTTCTCAAGAAGACACACCAGGGCTTATTTTCAGGGGATGTCTTATTTTTATTAAGTATAATACAACGGTCTACGTTTATTCAAATACAGTCAAGTCATCTTCTTCTGGAACCTGGCAGGAGGAGCCGACCTTATTGGTGGGGCTGGTGCTAGTGATGTTGAACTCCTTTCCCCTAGCCGTTCATGTGCTTAATAGGATGCCTGTGACTGCGGTTACCACACACGCACACACACACCTGCTCAAGTGCAAACGGCTTGGAGAAAGGAGCTGTGGCAGATAAAAGATATTCCAGTCTTCCTTGCCACTCCACCAAAATGCATGGCGTGGCTATCCAGATATTCTGCATAACCACACCCATCACTAGGTCTTCTTATCGGGGTAGGGCTTATATTTAACAAATGCATAGAAATCCTACTAGGGCTTATTTTTGGGGTAGGTCTTATTTTGGGGGAAACACAGTACTGCCTCAGCCACAAAGCCTATGTCGGTCACGCACACTGGACAACATTGGGCCCAGCTACATTTCACCCTTATACCCAACTTAGCCAGCCTTTGCTGGGCTCTGGGTGGTTGGTGGCCTCACTGTCTGGCATAAACACCAAAGATCCAAAGAAGCTGATGTTGTATCCCCTTTCCAGGCTCCCACTCAGCTCAGTTCCACAAAACATCTGCCAAGCCCCTATTGTGTGCCAGACTTTGGGAAAAACAGCAGAAATGCAAATATAAATAGAACATCATTCCAATTGTTGAAGCAAGTACGGTCTGGGGGAAATGGAACTCGTACAGCCTGTGTCAGTGAAATGTGGCAGGACAAAGCACTCTGACTGCCAGAGAAGGACAGCGGGTGCCCATTTTGGAGGTCCATGTGGTTGGGGCGTTAGCTGAGTCTGGACAGGCAAAGATGAGAGAGGGGAGAGAGGGACAATGAGCTGCCGCCGGACACTGTGTGGGCAAAATGAGAGGGCACAGAGGCACGGTCTGCTGGGACAGAGGCCGGGGACAAGCCGGCAGTGCTCGGGGACAGAGCTCAGAGCAGGAAGAGGGCAGGAGACAAGGGAGGAAAAAACTGAGGACCCCCAGACAGAGGGCCCCCGTTCTGTCCTGGAGGCAACAGGGGTTTAGGGATGTTCAGCAGGTAAATGTCAGTGGTGAGATCAATATTTTAACAGCCCTCTGGGAGCTGAGGAGGGCATTGGGTAAAGAGGGTTGGCTCATAAATCAGTGACAGCTCTGATGAGAGAGGGTAGAGGCCCCAGCTGAAGGTGACACCCCAGGCACAGTGTGGAGTCGGTGAAGGCCGTCCCTGCTCTAGTCTAAGAGGCACTTGTGAGTCTTTCTGATGTCATAATATATGCGATTAATGTGATGGTGTTGATTCTGGTGCTTTGTAAGAAGCGATGAGAACGCACTTTCCAAACCAAGCCTACAATGGTGGCTCTCAAACAGGACGGAGTTCAGTAATCGGGAAGTGCCTGACAGGGCTCCTGATTGGCTGGGTGTAGATGGTGAATGAGGGCAGGGAGCAGAAACTGGGGACGCCTAAGATGCCTTTCAGATTTCCAGCTCAGGTGAATAAGATCCTCCAACCAATTCACGCTGTTTTCTTGACTGCTGTGCCCTCCTCTCTTTCCTTTGCTCACCTGAACATTAAACAAACCTGACCCGCCTTTCCTGGATATCGTAAGGAACCTGGCCATTTATAGAAATTACCAGGGTACCTGGTCCTACACTGGACTAGAGGTCCTGAGGACAAAGGCTCTCTTCCTTCTGTTTCCATTTCCTGCATGTCTTATAGACACCGAGGCCCACAGCAAAAAATTTGATGAGTAAAAAAATGAGTCGAGTAGCTAAAGGGCTGCCTAATGTGGGGTCCCTCCATCCTCTTCATCACTCCCATCCCCCACCCATCACAGGACAAAGAGGGGATGGCAGTGCAAACCCAACCCCACTCCTGGAATGAATTAAGATGTAAAGGTTGGATAAGGGGTAGAGGGTCGGAAGTATCTTCTGCATGCACAGAGACTATCTCATTTTTCCTACAAGGGCGGACCACGTAAAACTGCCTGGTCCCTCCCCAGGCACATGTATCCAGCCAACTCTGAAAGGATGCCCTTCTCCCAGCGTCGGCCCAACAAACAACCCAGTCCCCCCGGGGGCTGGTGCAGCATCCTCGTATCTGAGCATTTTCCTATCCACAAATGAGATCTCTCTTCGCTACTCACCCAGTGCCAGTTATACCTTCATTCTCCTTAGAGAGACACTGGCTTCAGCCCCTGCTTTGACGGAGAAAGGCAAGATTGCAATTGAAAACTTCATCACATTAAACATGGCAATCACGCTAAAAGCCTGAGAACAGAAGAGAGGTGCGGGGGTTTAGGTTGGGAGGCTGCCGTGGCCTACACCATTACGCCCGTGGGGGTTACACTTACTGAGACGCGAAACGCTGGCACAGTTGGAATTTGCAGAGGAACAATTTTTTCATTTCATGGCTCAGAAACCACGGGTTGGCAAATTAAGGCCAGCAGCATCTTAATCTATTGTGCCTTTGGATTCCCACCAAAATGGTAGAAAATACGTCCCCTTGCCTCTGTTAATCCAGAGGAAAGGGTCTGAGGCAGGCCTCTAAATGAAACCTTTGGGAATCTCCGTTCGTGCCACATCTTTATTTGAGCCTGACCGTTTGCTCAATCCGCCCTGTGCAGATTTCCCCAAGTTCCTGCTCTCGTTCTTGCATCAGACCCCAGGAGCGAGCGCCCCCAACTTCACCCCCACGGCACACGCACGCCCAGGGCTGAAGGCAGGAGCTCCCTGGAAAGACCTGCTGCTGGCTGCTGGGGTGTTGGTTCTCGTACCCCCAGGACCAGGCCTCCATGCCTTGCCACTTCACACACCCAGGCCAGATTTGAAAGCCCTCGTCCAATTGTGGTTCCCAGAGAAACCCACCTCTCTTCATGGGGCCTCCTCCCCGGGCCCCCTAGTGGGTGCTGAATACTATACGGCCTCAATGAAGATGAGTCTGCTCCCGGCGTTCACGCCCCAGGGGTGCACAACCTCATCTCAGATTCCGTCTCCCCACCAGACTTGTGATTAGCGGTCCCTCCCGAGCCACCCACTTAAGGAATTAATAACTCAACTTTCTCCAGCAAATCCAGAGTGATCCTGCCTGCCGTGGAGTGGACACCATGGACAGCCCGAGCCTCCAACTAACCCTTGTCCCTTCCTTAAGAGGATGATCAAGGATGGTCCCAACACACCTGGTGCCCAATACAGTTTCTAAGGGAACTCGACTCTCCCAGCTCCCAACTATCACCGGGTTCAGGAAGCCCAGGCCCCACCTGGGGGGCCTTCTGTGACCGAGCACCCCTGGGGCCAACCAACACGGCCCCAGAGGAGGAAGTAACTGCAAGGAATTCTGAATCCAAAGAAATCAGGGCTTTGCATTCAGAAAATTTGATTTGGTCCTGGATTTCTTCTAAACCATTGTGCTGGAAAATATTAACTACATGTGTTCAATTTGGTTTCAAATTGATTTGCTTGATGCGTCACTGGATAAAAAAAATTTTTTTCTTTTTGTTTGGGATCATGGAACATCGTCACAATAATCAGAACTGCCACTGTCATTCATTCTGGCTCAGGTTCACAGCTGGGCTCAAGGCCCCGGCGTATGTCAGAGTAAACTGGACTGAGCTGTCACCACTGAAAAATCAGAGAAGATAAAAACAGCTCCCCAAGAAACACAGGGCGTGAAACGGATTAACAGGCCCACAGAAGATGCCCTGGAAAGAGCATCCTGGCTTCACAAGCATCGGCCCGCTGTTCCCCTTGAGATTAGGGTGCAATCTTCCTCTGTGAGCTCCCTCTAACTACTTGCCCTTGGTTTCATACGTTAGCTGATTTTTTTCTTTATTTAAGCCGAGGACCATTATCCCTCTAGCTGAGGAAACGGGCAAGGCTTGTTTACAACACAAACACCTCACCTTCATCCCACTTCTCCCTCTGAGGCTCCTCGTGTGCCTGGCTCAGTGAGAACAAGGCGGCCAGTGACAACAGCCCACACTCGCACTGCACCTATCGGTTGGGCTGGTGCCACCTGCTTCACGTAAAATAATGCATCCAGCCCCCACGACTGCGATGATGGGGACTATTGTCATCCACTTACAGATAACAAATCCAAGACAAGAGAGGCTCTGTGAGCTGCCAGGGTCATGGCCAGTAAGTCTCAGAGTCGGGACTAAAACAAAGCAGATGTGGCTTCGAAGCCCAGACTCTGACCCCAACATCACCCCCTCTCCTAAACCTGCAGCTCCTCCCTCCCAGAGACCTCTCCCAAAGTCTCCTTCTTCTGGTATATATGAATAAAACAGCCAAGTGTTCATTTGGCCTCCTTCTTTTTCCAAATATAAAATTGTGTTCCAACTTTAACTACCTCTCCTGCCCTGCCATGGACCGGGTAGAGTCACTGCTGTGCCCTCCTGGGCCCTTGTCAGCCCACGCACTTGTTTTTAAAAGTGAGGGTTGAGGCTCCGGCCTGTAGCTCACTGATTAGGGTGCCAACCACCCACACAGAGGCTGGCAGGTTCAAACCCAGCCTGGGCCTGCTAAACAACCATGACACAGCAAAAAAATAGCCAGGCTTTGTGGCAAGCGCCTGTAGTCCCAGCTACTTGGGAGGCTGAGGCAAGAGAATTGCTTAAGCCCAAGAATTTGAGGTTGCTGTGAGCTGTGACGCCACAGCACTCTACCAAGAGCAACATAGTGAGACTCTGTCCCCTCCCCCCCCTCAAAAAGTGGGGGTTAATTGCAGTATTATTTTTTCTCTTGCAATTGACTGTCCAGATGAAGGTGTTGTGCAGAGCCAGGATGGGGCTTCCCACCTAGGACTTGCCAGCCGGTTCTTACCACAGGGGCGGTGAGCTCGCGCCGCAGGAGGGTGTGGCAGGTGAAGGTCAGCACCGTGGCCACCGTGGACACCAGGGGTGCCAGGGCCGAGTTTCCACTTTGGACAAACCCAGCCTTTTCCAGTAATTTCCTTTCCTTCTGTCTTATATCTGCAAAGCAGAAAGAGTCCAAGGTGGTCTAATTTTGCATGTCGAACACCAGTGTTAAGAGATGCACACCCCTGCCTGTCCCCCTCCAAGTGAGTGCCAGTGAGCCCTGCTGTGAGCCTAGGTGAGAGGAAGTACAGAAAGCCCCAGCACAAAGCCAGCAGGGGACAGGAGCTCAGGACCCGTCAGCTGCCAGCACCGGATGAGCTCCAAGGTCCCTTCCAGCCCTGATACCCTGCATATCAGGAGTCACAACCCCAGATGCTCATAGGGCCCAAGCAAGTCCTATCGATGACAGGGACCATCCCAAGAGTAAGATGGGGGTCAGAGGCTGTGGAGCCCAGCAGAATGGGGAGCAGGTGTCTCCCTGAGAGGGGTGGCCACTCCTTGGTTTCCAAACCATCAACTGCCCCCACAGTCTAAGATCCAAAATTTTCTGAGACATCTCTCTCCTTTCAAATATTGTAAACTCATTGACAAAAAAGTTTTTAAATACTGTACTGGAGGGGACAGTCCCGCCTGAAGCCTACCAGATTGGGGGCCCCTAGCCTGGTGTCCCAAGAACAGCCACAAAAACTCGACAGCCTTTCTGCCTTTCTTAAGTCCAGAAGATGCCAGCGACCCTTCACTTCTCTCAGCATAAATTCAAGCCTCCTTCCCTGGCATTCGGTCTGCAATCCCAACTCCACCCTCAGCTGCCAAAGCCCCTTCTTGTCAGCGACAGGGCAGCCACGGCTGTCCTTGCCGCTCACCAGGTGCCAGGCACTCTGCCCAGCGCTTCCGAGGTGCCATCCTGTTACAATGGTGTCTGAGGAGAGCGAGGCCCTTATTGTGCCCTTTCAACAGGAAAGGAAGCCGGTAAATCAGGTTGAGGAACTTGCCTTTTAAGTGGTCGGGGCAGGACTGTAGCCCACTCCTGAGGATCCCGGTCCTGCTATCCACACAGCCTTCACCTGGAGGACACCCAGCCCCTGCCCTTCCCGGGGTGCACCCTCACATCACCAACTCCAGGCCTTCGCCCTCCCGGGGGGCTTCCCCAGTGCTGTGTCCCACCTGAAATCCACCTCCCCCAGGAAGCTTTTCCTGAACCCCCAACCCAGCGTGGGGGGTCTCCCAGGTGCTCTGGTGGCACTCTCCTCATTTTACCCTGTAGGGTAATTAACTCATGTGTCACTACTCAACGAATATTTTTTTTGAATGAGGTCCAAATCCCTTCACACGGCCTATTAGGAGTTTCACTCTATTGCCCTCGGTAGAGTGCAGTGGCGTCACAGTTAACAGCAACCTCCAACTCTTGGGCTTAAGCGATTCTCTTGCCTCAGGGACTACAGGCGCCTGCCACCAACGCCTGGCTATTACTCAGTGAATTTTAATCTGTCGTCTACTGTACACCAGGTGCCAAGCTGGGGGCTGGGGAGTAAAGGAGCGGAAAGGGCCTCAGCTTTCAATGCACAACCAAATAACTATAAATTATGTCAAGTGGTATGAGAGAAATGAACAGGTGGCAAGGTTAAGAGGCAAGGTGTGGGTGTGCTTGGGCCTGTGGTCCAGAAGTCCCCTTTGGACGTTGTGAAGAGACCTGAAGTCCAGACAAAGTCACCGTCAATTTCCAGCAGGGGAGTATTTCCAGGGAACAGCAAGTGCAAACGTCCTGGGGCACGAATGTGAGTGACACGTTGTTCTAGAAACAGACAGCAGGTTCCCAGGGCTGGAGCAGAGTTAGCAAAGGTTAGGGTAAATGTGACGAGGTCATAGAGGTCACCAGGGGCTGGCTCACGGTGAACCTAATGGGCCGTGTGAAGGGATTTGGATCTCATTCAAAAGACCGAAGTTTGAGTAATCTAAGTGTGATGAGAAGCCACTAAAGATTTTCCAGCAGGCGAGGAACAGGATCTGACTGACATTTTTCAAAGGTCACTCTGGCTGCTGAGTGCATAACAGATTGCAGGAGGAAGATGGGGGGGGGAGTCTTCTAGACGCTCCTGCCCCAGTCCAGGAGGGAGAGGATGTCAGCTTGGACTGGGGCGGTGGTGGAGTGAAGGGAAGCAGATGGATCCCGGATGCTTGCTCAAGGCAGCGCCAACAAGCGTGCAGCTATTTTTGAGCTTAGTTACCTCATCCTCCCTTAATCTGCAAAGCAGGAGCCCTTTCCCCACCATGTGTGTAGCTCCCCAGCCTTGCACCTACTAGGAATTTGGTATGTTTTTATTGAATTAAATTGATGAGTTAAATTGAGTTGGGTCAAATGGAATCAAATTTGCTCAGATCAAATTAAATCATGGTGAAGAGAGCTCAGAGAGCAAGGAGGTGTTTCTGGATCCTAAGAGAGGGTCCCCCAGGGCTGCTGGCATCCCAACCTGGGGCCCTGCCTTTGTCACACTCTGCAGGCTTTCTAATGCCACTCCCTAAAGTGGGGACACACAGCTTCAGCCCAATTACATGCTGGTGCAAAGTGTAACTGCAGATCCAGAGAGTCAATTGTAACAGTGGTTCAGGTCATTAACCAGAGAACCACCTGAGTCTCTGTCAGCAATTATGTAAATGTCCCTGCAATTAGATTTGCATTTATATTTGATTGAAATAGTTTCTATATCATCTTAAAAAACAAAACACAACTGAATATGCATCCTCCTATCTGCCCAAGGCAGGCTGAGTCAGTGGGCCACCCAAACACAATGGGCTGCTGCAGGGAGGAGCTCCCCCTCTGTTGGGGGTGGGGGGAGAGTGCACACATAAGCAGACATCTTCTAAGTCAAGGAAATAGCTTGAGACAGCTTTTTCCCCCTGCTCACAAGGTTTTAGGAGCTTATTTTTGCAAAGGTAATTGTTCAGTATCAGCAGATCTACATGGGAAACCATGTGTCACTCACCCTTGAGTTCACCAGAACAGGTGCCTGGGTCTTTTAAAAAATTGCCACAATCCTTTGAAAATCCTTTGATTTTGCAGAGAAGCTGGGGGAGAGGGGTGTCCTCTCAGCCTCCTTCTAGAATGCCTGGCCCTGGGAACCAACTGTCCCGTACCAATCGGGGAGCAGAGGCGTGTCAGGGACTGACCCCACTCACCGATGTTTTCACATGTTCACTGGTCAGCTTTAATCAGATGTGCGAAAACCGATTCTTCCTCGGGGTCAGCTCCTGAGCCCACCCTTTGGTACTTGGCTGTTAAAAACCCTTGGAAGAGCACATTCTACGGGGTAAGTGGTTCTTTAAGCAGCCGCTCTCATCTTACCTCGAATGGTGTTTGTAAAAGATTTCTCCCAGGCGTACATTTTAATCAGCTTGATGCAGGTCAGAAACTCATTCATTGTCTGAATTCGCTTGTCTGTCACTGAAATTGCTGATCTCCGGAAAGCTGAATTGAGCTTAGCCATGAACATCTAAAATTAAGGTACAAACACAGTGTTCAGAGAGAACTGCTGAGTGGCAGTTGGCCTAAACCTCCCGGGATCCGAGTCTAGGGGCCAGGAGAAGTTCTAAGGGATTCTCAGCCATTCTTTTGGGTGGTGACAGCTGGCACAGCCAGTCTGGGTATTGGGCAGGTGATACAAACACAGGACTTGCCAGGACACAGTAGGAGTGCTAGGGACTTTGGCAACATGAAGAAGCATGTCCCCCTCCCCCAGAGCATTCAAAGTTTTAAAAAGCTGCACTGTGCCAGCAAAAGGAAGCTAGGCACAGGCTTCAGGTCCACACACCAAAAATGAAGCCCCCCCCATCTAAGTCACTGAAAGTGTGTGTGAGAAGCACAAATCCATAGCAGTGACGACGGCCAGGACCTGCCGTTACCTGGACGGGGATGAATATGATGTACACGGAGATCCCGATGAGAGCCGTGGGCCCCAGAATGAAAAAGGCATACACTGCACAAACCACCATTAGGAGAGGGATGGTGGCTGGCAAGGGGCAAAACAAGGCCGCTTCAAACAAGGAATAGCTGTCATTGGACAGTGTGTTGAGCACCTGTAAGGAAAGCACAGGGGCTCAGGCTCTGGAGAGTCACTCGGCACATCCTCAGCTGAAGCCTTCAGAGAGGCGCTGACTCCCGGGGAGCCGTCCAGATGCTGATGAGGTGGGTCCCATGGACCTCATTCCCACGTGAGTATGAGCAGCCAGTCTCTAAGGACTGAGAATCCCCGTGAAGAAAGACTTAAAGGTGACACTACTGTCCCAGAGCAGGCTGGAGAGACTGGCGGCTGCCCTCCTTGTATCTATCTCCCTTCCGCCTTATGAAGACAGCTTTGCCAGGAGCCCAGTGAGAAGATCACATTCCCCAGCTTCTTTGTGGAAGGAGTGTGGCCCTGTCACCATGTTAAGGACAGTGAGATGTAACTCAAAGTACCAACCGGGACTTCTGGCATGAATTCTTAAAAGAGGGCTGCCTCAGCCTGGAAGGCTCACCACTTTGGTTCTCCTATGCCTCCTCCCAGCTGTCTGAAAGACAGTTGTGATGGCTGGAGCCCTAGCATCCATATTGAGCCCTGTGGGAGCCCTGTGCTGGGGCAGTGAAGAAAGATGGGAGGCTCTGGGAGGCCCTGCACTAGCCCTGGGTTGTTCCCTTCCCAACTCCTTTGACATAGGCTGAAATAAACCTTCTTGTGGAATCCACTTCTCCCCTGCGTGCTCTGTTACATGCCGCTGGCTTTACTCATAAATGATGGGGAATGCACTGAGAGCAGCCGTGAGAACACAGCCAGTCCCTCATCCTACCTCACTCCTGGGGCTCCCTTCATTAGGAAAATATTATTTTGGAAAAGTGGCATGATTTTATCACTAGAGATTAAGGGCTCGAGAAAATGTCAGCTCTGAAGCCAAACAGGCCTGGTCTTTATCCTAGAGTGGTACCCCTAACACCCCACAGTCGGGATTATTGGACCCATCAGTCAATCAGTTTATTAAATGCCCATAGCGTGTTCTGTCCTGCCTCGGGGCCCTCAGGAGAAGCACAGAGATTGGATGGAGTCACCCCTGAGCCCTGTTCCAGCTGGAACTGACCTCCCATCTCACAGCAGGGAGGAGAGATATGCTGGGTGGGACACAGGCACACAAAAGGGGGGACAGATGCTCATCCGGGGGGGGGGGGACAGTGCACCTCACGCGCTCAGCACTCAGAGCTAACCTTCTAACTCTGACTCTTGGGACCAGCTCACCTCGCCGACAGAGATGTGTGTCAAGGTCTTGAAGGACACCAGGTTTTCGAAAACCAGGGTGGAGAGGGCCACCTTCAGCCGGACCGCGGTGCGGTAATTGATGGCCCAGGCGAGGGCCCAGAAGAGGACCTTGGTAAACTCGGTGACAAAAAGGGCCACACACAGGCTGATGCCAACCCAGACCTTCCGGGAGGCGTTCTCGGTCTGCTGGAGGATCTGGTGAATGAGAATCGTCTGTAAAACAGTGGGGGGGGCGGGGACAGAGGAGGCCCAGACAGTGTCAGCAAGCTGGCTTTAGGAGACAAACTTTTTAATTAATTTGGTGGCTGCTGCTGTGCTTGATTGAGAAGGATTAGCTTTATGGAAATTCGCCCCCAAGGAGCGCAGAGATAATGGCAGTGCACTGAACTCGCCAGCTCATAGAGAAAGGAACTAATGATGCTCTTGCCAGCTGGGGCCGGCGAAGGCAGGGCAGGAAAGGGCTGACTCACCGGCCCGATGGCCGCCATGATGATGCACAGGATGTTGGCCAGGATGTCCATCAGAACACGCGTCCTCTGGAACTTCCAGACCACTCGGCCCAGGGAGGCCTTCTCAGGACCCACCCTTCCTATCTCTTCATCCCAGAGGACTCGAAATCTGTGATGAGAGGATGGAGGGGGAAAGGGATTGACACATCTGCTTGCGGTTTGGTGTCACCCTGGTGGACAAGCCCTGGCAAGGGTGCTGAGCGCGCCCCTCCCTGGCAGTGGTGTCCCCAACAAACAACACTGGCTCTCCTTTCTTCTCTTCCTGGGCAGGTGGGACCGGCAGGGGTGGAGGCGCTGCCTGGGCACAAGCTGGGGTGACATGTGGCGTGTGGACACTTGTTTCCTCTGTCTTCTGCCCATATCTGCCGTAATCTCGGCTCTGATAAGAAGACAGAGGCAAGGGAGAAGCCCAGAGAAAATTCTTCCCAGGGCAGAGAGGACCTCCTGCACTGCAAAGATCTGAAAGAAGGCCTAGCGACAGGAGGGGGTGCACCAAGGAGCAAGGCGGGCCACAGCTCACGGGCGTGGGCAGTCAGGACCTCGGTACGGAGGTCAGTGCTCATTCCAAGTGCAAAGGAAGTGCCACGGGGTTTTAGGCCATTGGGAGAAGATCATTTTGAGCCCTGGAAATGCTGTAAGGGTGACCAGATTGTGAGGACAGCAAAGGAGAAAGCAGGAGACCACAGCAGGACAGTGTCAGTGCTGAGGTGGCAGTGGGCGTGAGCACAGATGGCTGGAGATAGACAGGACTGCCAGCTAATCGGATGTCGGGGGGAGAAGGGGATGGAGGACAGGCCCCGGGTTCCTGGCTGGAGCACCTGTGTGAGTGGAGATCACAGAGACAGGGAAAGGAAGGACAGTGAGAGCAGGCACAGTTTCAGGAAGGTGTCCGCGTGCGGCTGTGACCGGGAGCTGGGCACATGGACTGCGGGCCTGGAGCAGAAGCATGGGCCACAGACAGACACGATGTTGAGGTCATCAGCATGCACTTGGTGCATAAGGCTTGGATGTGGTGGTCACCCCAGGGCAGAGAGAGCACCGGAGGCTCAGAGGAAAACCTAAGTTGACGTTGGGTTGAAAGCAGAGCCAGAAGCCAGAGCAGAGGGGGCAAGACCCAGTCCAGATTCCATGGACCCTGGCCTAGCTTTCTCTCAGGGCTCCCTGGCAACTTTCTCCAAGCTTCAGATTTTGGAAGTTACCACTTCAGCATGACTGAGGTTTCTTCTGGGTGCAAATGAGAGGGAGGACAGTTCTAGAGGCAATGACAGGCCATTACTGACACCCCCATGCATAGCATTGTTGATGACACTATAGGTCCTCAGAGGCACGAAGCCAGCACAGCTGTCGGGAAGAGCAAAGTGGACATCTCCGTGCCAACATGGAAAATCTTTATGAACTCTAACTGCAGAGAGTGCAGTGATGAACGACCGCGCAGTCTGTGTCCTTTTCTGTTCAAATTTTTTAAAACATGACCTATGATTGGGGAGGGAGAAGAAGAGGTATTGATCTGTAGAAGATGGTAGCCCAGGGCATGTTTAATCCAGGTAGAAACATTCAGGAGAGAGCCACACTGACATTTGCACAGAGCCCCACTCCGGGGGCAGCGGGAGCGGGTAAAGATACTCATACTGCGTGAACTTGTGTTGCTTTAACATTTGTATAATGAATATGAATTAGGCTGGACCAATGACATTTACGTTTTTACAAGTGAAAATTGTCAAATATTGGCAGTTTCATTTGGATCGACCCAAATGCATGTTGTGATATAAAGACCCAACAACGGTTTTTAAAGTAGCCCAGGTGGGACCTGACCAGCCGAGGGCAAGCCTCTGTCCTGACGGGACACTGCTGTGCCCCAGCCGACAGCCCAGCCAGACGGACTGAACACAGCCCATGGCTCCCCAGCCAGTCCCCTCCCCCCACCAACTCCACCCAGTCCTCACCTCCCCAGAGACTGGCAGTCCAGTCTCAGTCTCACAGAGCAGCCTCTGAGAACGGCCATCAGTGCCCTGGGGTGTCAACTGCCATGCTGGGGAGACTGGAGAGGGTACAAGGGCCCCTTCCCAGGTGTGCTCCTCTCCAGAGCTGACCTGGTACCTTTTGGCATTGGTGTCAGATGAGTCGTATGGTGACAAGGGGGGCAGGGTGTCCACAGTCAGCTCGCCCTTGTAGCCTTTAACCATCACCGGAGTGAGCCAGGAAAACGTGGCAAAGGAGAGAAGCCCTGCATCATCTATTGGGTTGGTTGCCAACCTGCAGACGAGAGGCACGCTCGGTGTTCCGGGGTGTTGGGGTCATTGCCCTGACTCTCTCTGGCTGGAATTTGTCATTACAGTGGTGACCACAGCCACACGCAGACCCTGTCACCTGTTAGCCCTTTGAGCAGTGGTGTGCTGGAGCCAACTGATGAGCTGATTGTTAAATTGAGTGTATGTCATTTAATTCAAGATTAAAGTACATCATTTTAAAGACATTATCTCACAGGTAAAGGCAATAGCACTCAGCACTTCCTAGTTATTCAGCCATTACCTGTGCCCTCCAGGTTATTGTCTACACACCTGTGCATGGTGGACAGACTGCGCATCAGTGGGCTGCCGTGAGCCTCTCCCAACTCTGCATGCAGTGATGTCATGCGGATGGCTTAAAACTGGCCATAGGGGGAGTATTACACCCTAAAAATGGGTGACTGCTACATTCTAAGGGTTTTTCTCCATGAGCCAGTGGTTGAATAGCTCCCAGTGGTGGAGCCTCAGGACCACCCCACAGGAAGGAGGGTCCTGGCTCTGTTTGATGGGTGAGGGAAGTGACAGCTGCTGGTTGACCCTCAGAGGGACCAGGCACATGCCCTCTGCTCTCAGGAGAGTGGGAGAGGCCAGGGCAGGAAGCACCCGGGGGGTGGGCATCCCAAGAGGGCAAGAGCTGGGGGCCAACGCACGGTTTATTGTGAGAACCAAAATTAACACATGTGAAGAGTCACAGTGATGTTACCTGTCAGATAAAGGAAAAAGATAAGGGGGGCAAAAGGGAGGGGAAAGGAAAAAGGGAAGAACCTGGGAGAAGAAAAGGGCAGAACCAAGAGAAAGAGGAGGACGAGGAGGGAGGGAGAAAAAGAACAGGAGGAAGAGAAGAAGGAAGAGGGCAGGACGTGAAGAAGAAGAAGAAAAGGAAGAGGAAAGAAGAAGAATCTTTTTCTCCACACCTTAAATCTGAACTTTGGCCAATGGAACACCGTGAAATGAGTGGTGTGCCAGCTGTGAAGCGCAGCCTGCTTCCGGCACTCTCCCAGGGGCCTGTAGCGTTCTTGGGAGAGAGTCTGGGTCAGGCCGCTAGAGGTGGAGCAGCTGCATCACCCATTTGGCCCCAGGGCCCCAGCCAACAGCCGGCCACCTTACTGACCAGCAGATGCCTAGTCAAGACCAAAGGAGCCGGCCAACTGAGCTCAGCCCGCGTGGCTTTATTTTATGGGCCACCCATAAAATTTTAAGCTAAATAAGTGGCCATTGTTTTAAGCTGGGAATTGTTGAGGTGACGAGTTACAAAGCAAAGGCCACCTGATGAGCTTCAGGCAAGTTCCCTAACCTCTCTGTGCCTCGGTTTCCTCTCCTGTCAGATAAAGATAAGAATAGTCCCTGCAGGGGGGTTGTGAAGAGTGAGAGGACATTCGTAAGGCATACGGAAAGCCCTCCTTAAGCTCAGTTATTGCCTGCCTCTCACCAATGGACAGGAGGAGACAAGAAGTGAGTTGCTGAGTGGACGAGTAGATGGATGGACGGCCAACAAGGGCAAGCAGAGGGGCAGCACGGGGGAGCAGGAGCAGGGCCCACTCACCTGGTGGGCCTCAGACTGTCCCTGGAGCTCCTCCCCTGTCTCTTCAGCCCCCTCCTGACTCACCTTGCATAGGGGCGCACCGGGATCATGGTCTTCAGGCTGGGGTCATATCTCTCTACAAAGGATCTCCGCTGGCCCCGCCGGTCCAGATCCGAGATGAGGTAGGCTTCACCCACCATCCTGACGGCAGTCTGGAGCCCTGGGCTGGGGACACTTTCACCCTATAGCAGAGAGATGAGGAAGGCTTGCTGAGAGTTGAGGACGTCTGGAATGGGGTTGGCAGCCCCTACTCCACCCAGATCAGTTCCCTGGCTTTGATGCCTCAGAACTGGGTTTTCACCAATTGGCTTTCACATTTATGGGAGGGTGTCAACAAAGCCCCTCCACACCCCTAATTCCACTCCGGGGCCTCCTTATTAGTAAGATATTTCCTTCTTCTCCCACATTGGGTTGGCTGAGAGCAGAAAAGGCTCTCGTAGGTTTTCTCTTCAGGGACAGCTCAGTGGCCAGAGCTGAGTCTCAATCCAGCAAAAGAGCCCCCAGAAAGTGGATTTGCTGTGTCAGTGTGACCTAGAGTGAGTCTGTCACATGCACACTTCTGTCAGATGCTCAGATACAGGAGCCTGTATACCCACAGCCCTTTATCTAATAACTGCAACAAGGCCACCCCTCAGGACTGGCCACATCTGAACAGGCCCCATTCCTCACACCTCTGGCCACTACACCCAGTGAGAACCACCAGCCAAGTTGGAAAGGATCCTTTTTGGCAACTCTGTCTAGTCTACAAACCTAACTATTAATGGCTAATAAAACCCGCATGGCAGAGCTGGAAGTGTCCCAGATGCAGCCTTTTACAAATTTCTCATTATAAAGAGGAGGGAACAGAGGACAGAGGCAGGAGGGAGCTACTCCAGAGTGGACGGAGAATGAGCAGGACCCTCTAATCTGGGGTAGTCTCAGTACACGGAAAACCGTCAGTCCCGCCCTTTGCCACTAACCCTGCAAAATCCCTTGCTGATATTACAAAGGGCACTGCTGGGAATAATATGCTTTGAGAGTTTTTACAATAAAATTTGAAAATCAAAATGTCTTCACCTCAAAAGGGTTAACTCTCCCAAAGTGAAAACAGAAGCAATCTAATCAGCAGGAGGGGGCAACAAGTTTTACTGGCAGTAGTTTTGTCAAAATCTCTCCCATCATCCAGTTAATGAATATTAATGATGTGAATCCTATAGCAGCAGGCCAAGATTCCTAATTCAATGAGAAGTTACCAGACAGGGACCTATACATTTCTGTCCAACCTGCATCCTCCTCTATGCTCCACCCTCCACTCGCTCCTTCTAACTGCACTCCTGCCATACTGAATGTCTCACTACTCCCTGAACAAATCACCAGTTTCTCCTGCCTTTGGGTCTTTGCACTCATCGCTGTCACAACCTGGAACAATCTAATATCTCTCTCTTCACTTGACGAATTCCTGCTCAGAATGCAAGGCTCAGTTCAGACATAGCCTTTTCTGGGAAAACTTTCTTATTAACTTTTCTATTTCCCCAAATAGACTGTGGGCTTCACATCTGTCTGGTTCACAGCTTTATTTCCAATACCTAGCACATCATATGTGTCCAGTACATAGTTATTGAATGCAAGAATAATAATGAGTATGAAAGAAGCCTCAGACATAAATCCTCCCCCACCAAAGAGGAGAAATAAGCACACAGTAACAAACATTAAAATGTAGATTATAATATGTATTAGCACTGGGGGATAAAAAAATACTGACAAAGGGGTTAAAACTCAGAAGTCAATCAAGGAAATAAAATGAAACACTAAATAGTGATTAACCTAAAAACTGTAGGGAAGGAGAAACAGAGGGATAAATAGAAGACAAATAGCAAGCCAACAAATTTAAAACCAGCCATATCAGTGATTACATTAAATGTAAATGAACCAAACACTTCAATTAAAAAAACAAAGATTGTCAGGCTAAATATAAAAATGGAATCACACAACATGCTGCCTTTGAGAAGTATATTTTAAATATAAAGACACAAATAGATTGAAAGTAAAAGCATGGAAAAGAAATACCATGATCATAATAAGAAGTAAATACAGAAAAATGTTCATGATGTTCAGACAGGGAAGGATTTCTTAAAGCATATTAAAAAAAAAAAAAAGCCCAAAGTAAAAGCTCAATAAATTTTACAACATTGATATTATGGGTGTTAATCAAAAGACATAATTTTTAAAAGATACAACATGCAAATATAAATGTGATGCATTTACTTGCAAAGAATTAGTATGCAGAATGTATAGGGAATTCTCAATACAACAATAATAGAAGGACAATCAGAAAAGTAACCAAAAGGCAATTGACAGATGACCCAAATAAATAAACCTCAATCTCTAAGTACAAGGGAAGTGTGAAATAAAACCACAATAATAATCACAGCCATTTTTCATTCTTCAAATAGGCATTATTAGAAACCCTGAAGATTATAACTCTTGGCATATGTGTGGCACAAAGCAGCTTCTAAACCCTATCGGTGGGAATATAAATTGAACAACTAATTTGTAAAGCAATTTGGCATTACATGGTGAAGTTAAAAATCCTCTTAGTCTCATATGCAGCAATTATCCTCTTAATTACCTGCTTGCCTTAGAGAAATTGTGCCTGTTCAAGCAGTCACATACAGAGGGGCTGAAACCTCCAGGCCTCTTCCCCTCACAGGCCCCCTGCCCCTGCCATCCTGTCTTGCCTCATAGTTGTTGGCATCAATACTGAAGTTCAATCTAGGAAAACATAAGGAAACAACCCACCAAGGATGGGGTCTCATTTTAAAATATCCAGGAATAAGGGCTGGGCACAGTGGCTCACACCCATAATCCCAGCACTTGGGAGGCCGAGGTGGGTGGATTGCCTGAGCTCTTAGGTTCAAAATCAGCCTGAGCCAGAGCAAGACCCCATCTCTAAAAATAGCCGGGCTTTGTAGCAGGTGACTGTAGTCCCAGCTACTCGAGAGGCTGAGGCTTTTGATTAACACCCATAATTTTGATGTTGAGGTTGGCTCAGCACCTGTGACTCAAGTGGCTAAGGCACCAGCCACATACACCTAAGGTGGCGGGTTCACATCCAGCCTGGGCCACCAAACAACAATAATGGCTGCAACCAAAAAATTGCTGGGCATTGTGGCGGGTGCTTGTGGTCCCAGCTACTTGGGAGGCTGAGGCAGGAGACTTGCTGAGGAGTTGGAGGTCGCTGTGAGCTGTGATGCCACGGCACTCTACCCAGGGGGACAACTTGAGGCTCTGTCTCAAAAACAAATAAATAAAAGAATTGCTTGAGGTTGCTGTGAACTGTGATGTCACAGCACTCTATAGAGGACAACAAAGTGAGACTGTCTCAAAAAAATAAGAATAATAAATAAGTAAATAAAATATCCAGGAATATTTGTAACAGCTCAGTTATATCTTCAGCATCCACAAATAGGAAAATAGATGAATAGACTGTATTATGAATGAGATATTTTATTATTCCACACTAAAAATAAATGAAGTGAGCCCACATACTAACGTGTGATAAATTGAGAAGAAAAGAAGTGAGTGGTAGAAAGTACGTTCACCCTGATACCATCTGCAGAAAGTTCACCTCCTTGCAAATCAATAACATATCTATTCACCAGTAAGTACCCCTGTGCTAAGTTTTACTTCTCATGTACTGATGTACTCATATCCGCACAGACTTCTCCTGTAGAATGACATTGGAAATCAAGGTGTGGGCAGTCGGTGTGTTTATTTTTTGTCACTGGGGTGGTGCTGCCTCTAGGGCCTCTCAGCTGACAGAGTAAGGAAATACATGGTGTATATTCACTAGCTCATAAACACGTATCTATAAACATCTCTGTGTAACCATCTGCGTTTTAAGCTGACGATGAATTTGCACTGATTCTCCAATTTTAATTCATTGCCATAATTATCATAGTTGTAGCCTCCTCCCTGCTGAAGTTTGCAAACTTCAGTTCTAAAGGTGAGAGAAGCCTGGTTCTCACCACCCGCCATCTATTTACATAATTGTTCAATGAAGTACCCATGTCCGGTATTGTCAGAATTGTCAGCCCATGACCCTGTGCGAAGCAACTAACTAGAATATGACACTTCCCAGAGGAAGGAAGAGGAGCTATAATCATAGGAACTTCACAGTGGAGAAACATCACCTCAGCCGAGTAAGCACGGTCACCATCAACGTGACAAATCTCATCAATGGTAAAAACCCTTGATGTGATACGGCAAAATTGACACTTTGCCTCGGTGGGGTTCCTCTCAAAAACCCATAACCCCAGTCGAATCATAAGAAAACCATAATATCCACTGCAGGACAGCCTACAAAATGCCTGGCCAAGCTTGGCACCTGTAGCTCCGCAGCTAGAGCACCAGCAACATACACCAGAATTGGAGGGTTCAAATCCAGCTTGGGCCTACCAAACAATGGCAACTACAACCAAAAAATACCCAGGCATTGTGGCAGGCTCCTGTAGTCCCAACTACTTGTGAGGTGAAGGCAAGAGAATCGCTTAAGCGCAAGAATTGTAGGTTGCTATGAACTGTGATGCCACCGAACTCTACCAAGGGCAACATGGTGAGACTCTGTCTCTAAAAAAAAAAAACACCTGGCCAGTGCCCCTCAGAACTGCCCCGGTCATCAAGAACAAGGCAAATCTGAGAAACTGGCCCAGCCACCAGGGCCCAGGAGACTCAGCAAGTGGTGAGTGGTGTCTTGGGAGAGATCCTGGAATAATAAACGTGCAGTGGTGTCTTGGGAGAGACCCTGGAATAATGAAAGGATGCTGGACTAAAGCTACGGAAATCTAACAAAGCATAAATATTGGTTACCATGTGTTGGTATCTGTTCATTAATTATAACACATACACATAGTAAGGAAAGATGGTAATTCTAAGCGTCACTGGGTGTAGGGTATGTGGGAACTCTCCGCACTATCTTCATGATTATTTCATAAATCTAAAAACATCTCCAAAAAAGAAAGTTTTTGAGAAGTGAATGAGGAAGGAACATAAGACCCAGAAGTCACACAGGGATTCCCCCCACGTTACTCTGACTTTTAATCATAACGTGAACAACGTGACCCCTGAAAGCAGGCTGTCGCCGAGGAAAGCAGCCCTGTGC